GCTGAGCGTCTGCTGCTTCGCGAGGTCCGCGGGGCCGATCTCGAGGCGGAGCGGGACGCCCTTCTGCTCCCAGTCGTTGAACTTGAACCCGGGCGTGTAGCCCTCGCGGAGGTCCGCGCGCGCGCGCACGCCGGCCGCCTTGAGCTCCGCCGCGAGCTTGTCGCACGCGTCGTTGACGGCGGTGCGCTGCGCCTCGGTCGACTTGGCGGTGATGCCACAGGGGACGACGACGACCTGGACGGCGGCGACGCGCGGCGGGAGCACGAGACCCTGGTTGTCGCCGTGGATCATGACCATGACGCCGATCGTGCGCGTCGAGAGGCCCCACGAGTTCTGCCAGACGTATGTCTTGCCCTGGCCGGAGGGGTCGTTCGGGTCCTCGACGAAGATGTTGAACATCTCCGGGCGCGAGAAGTTCTGGCCCAGGCAGTGCGAGGTTGCGCCCTGGATGCCGCGGCCGGTGGTCGGGACGAAGCCCTCGACGGTAGTCGTGTAGAGGCCGCCCGCGAACTTCTCCTTCTCGGACTTGACACCGGGGATGACGGGCACGGCAAGGAGCTCCTCGTAAACACGCCGATAGAGATCGAGGATCTCGAGTACCTCCTTGTCGGCCTCGGCCTTGGTGAGGTGGGCGGTGTGGCCCTCTTGCCAGAGGAATTCACGGGTACGGAGGAAGGGCTCTGAGGTGCCTGTGAGTGCGAGTGCGAGTGCGTACAATGAAGCGAGACAACATACGAGGATTCTTGAACTCCCACCGGACAACGCTATTCCACTGGTTCAGCTTGAGGGGTAGGTCGCGGTGGCTTTGAATCCACTTCGCGTAGTCTGTGAGAGGTCAGTGCTGAGCCGCAGTCTCAGGTAGACAACACACGTACAAGGATACATGACGGTTTCGGAGGTAGGACGAATAGCAATGGGCTCTTCCAGTTCTGACTGGCCTCTGAACGTAAGAGTGAGTAGACTGTAATCAATATCCTCGTGATAGCACGTACGCTCGCGTGACCCAGGCGACCTCAGGAGAGAAGCCCTCAACATGGTCCTTCTCCCGCTCCAAGACCTTCGACGACACGAACATGGGGAAGTATGCGTTCTGCACGCCCATCTCCTTGATCTTGCCGTTGAACCATTCTAAACGAATTTCAGTAACCGGCGGTAGAGCTCGGGCCGAGTGAACTGCAGACCTTGGATTGACTCCCAGATGGTGTACGACCATGGCCTGAGGATATAGCATCCGCTGACGTTGTAGTACTCCAGCATGTCCGCCTTGATGAGCACGTTCGTGTACCACGTCGGGAAGTCGACCTCCTTCTTCACGCCGATAGCGATCTGCACTGCGCCCTCGATCTTCGCATCCTCCTTCTCCTTCTTCACGGGCGCGCCAGACCTTGCGGCGGAGGCAGCGTCATCTGCAGCAGACTGGAGGTTCGCGATGTCGAGCTCGTGCAGTGTGGGAGCGCCCTCGGTCGCGAGCTGCTTCACGTATGCGTAGAGGTCCTTGCCGGAGAGGAAGAGGGTGGATTCGGAGGAGAGGCCGCGGACGGCGAATGTGGAGGAAGAGGACGCGATCGCGGTGTCGATGACGGTAGTCACCTTGGGATATGTTTGGGAGTTGAGAGCAAGGGGAGAGACTGTAAGCAGATAAAGTCGTCAGTTTGAGGTCTATCACGGAAGGCGGGAGGTATTCTTGTAGGTCAAACCGCGAGTGCTCGCGAGCACATCCTCTCCCGGAGCAAATCCTCACAGAACGCCTTAGCAAGTAGACCGAATACTCACGAGAGTTTTTGTCAAGACCGAAGAACTCCTTCAGGAGATCCTCAGACGCAAGGCGGAGGTCCTTCAAGTTGAGCGTCTTGCCGAGCACGCCCGACGGCACATCCGTCGTTTCTCGCGCGATCACGACGAGGGGCACGGGCGTAGCCGTCTTCGCGGTCTTGGGCTTGTACACGAGCGTCTTGACGAGCTCGAACGGCTTCGGGGCATCGGGGCTCGCCTCGAGGGCCTCGCGCCAGGACTGGGGGGAATTTGTCGGGGCGTGCGAGACGGACGCGGCGGGGGAGATGGAGAGCTTCGCGAGGGACTGGGTGATAGACTCTAGCGAGGCCATCGTGGCTGCTGGTGGTGAGCGTGCGGGGCGAGAGGAGGCGAAGTGGCGGCGGCAGCGATGAGGAGGAGGAGGAGGAGAGGCTGAGGCTTTGGCAGAGTCGGCGCTTTTGCAGATTGACTCGACGGCTGTTTTTGGGCTGGACGATGTTATCAGATGCTGCGATAGAACAGCCCGCGCTGCTCGAGCTCGAGAAATCCGTCGGACAACGGCCCTCGAGGCGAGCATCTACCCCACGTCGTCGCTCGAACCAGAGCGTCCTCTGCAAACGAAGTGACGCGACAGTCCGACCGACGCGGTTTTCTTGCACGCACGATCCAGGCGCTCAACATCATCTATATCTATCCGAGCGCGTACCAGCCCGGCATGTGCACGCACAGTCCACGACGATTGAGCAATAAATGTATATACAAAGTGTGCTTGTTGCTGCCTATATATCTCGATTCCAGATCATTATCTCTACTGCCTCCTTTCCGCTTCGTACAGGGGTGCGCTACCGTCGTGATGCATGTCCGTGCTAATGCGAGTAACGACGAAGAGAAGGCACATGGTCAGTGGTATATGTTGTTGTATGGTACAGCCATCATAACGGCGGGTCGGATGAGATGCGTTCACGAGCAGTCGCATAACGTTAAGTAGGGATCGTGGCGTTCATGCTTTCGAGGCCTCGCCCGAAGGCGTAGCAGAGGCCGCAGGGGTGACAGGCCTCTCCTCTTCTAACTTGTGGTCCGCAGGCTCCTTCAGCTCTTCCTCAAGGGCCTTCTGGCCCTCTTCGGTGAGCTTTGGTGCCCCGGATGAGATGTCAGGGTCAAAGTAGCGCGGAATGAACCTGCCAAGCATGTCAACAAGAGCAGATTACACAAGACTGATACCACGACTCACTTGGCTCCCTTGCGTTTACGCTCGGCAGCGTCGTCTCTCTGCTTCTGCTCTATCGCAAGCTTGTGCTTCGTCGCCTCGCTGTACTCCTTCCTCAGCAGGCGGGTAGTCACATTCTCCCACAGCTTGCGGCTCTCGTTCGGCAGCTGCTTCTCCAGCGGTCGCACCACCTTCGGGACGACGTGCAGCGTGGACAGGTCGATGAGCGTCGCGTACTCGCTGTCCGGCGCATCGACGCGCTTCCAGCGGATCTTATGCCGCCAACACCCATCGAACACCGCCAGGACGCGATCGCGCGGCACATGTTTCACGCGCGTCCACTCCTCGTGCACGCTCTCGTTGGGGTCGTACGTGTGGATGACGCCCTCGCACTGGAACTGCGCGCGGCCGAGCCACGACTCCTCCTTGTACTCGATGATCGCGCGCAGCTTCTGCCCGTCCGCACCGCCCGAGCAGGTGATGATCGTCGTGTCCCCGACCGTGACGTAGAAGCTCCCGCGCAGCAGCCCATTGACGGACGCGACCGGGTGCGTGATGTGGTACATCTCGCCCTCGCCTGGCTCGCCCGTGATGCGCACGAAGATGCCCTTGTTGAACGAGCCCGGCATTACGCGCAGCGTCGTGCCGGACACCTTCGCCGAGATCTGGTCGACGCCGCACATCTCGACGTGGCGGCTGGGGCAGGAGGCGTAGAAGGCCGAGACGGGCGGGTGGTGCGAGACCTGCTCGGTGAGGTAGGCAATGCGCACCCGCGGCTTGTCCGCAGCGGTCTCGTCGGTCTCGAGGAGGTCAACCGCGCCTGAGCTCCGGTCGTTCGCGAGGCTAAGGTTCGACATGCCGGCCTCGAGATTCGTCTCGACGAGCTCGGGAGAAGTCGCGGGCGATGACTTGGCGGTGGCTTGGCCGCGGGACATGAAGCTAAATCCGCTAAGCGCACTCCGGGCACTCTTGCCGCTCTTGATGCTCGCGTTCTCCGAAAGGGGAGGGTGTGCCACGTCCGGCATCGAGTGCATGGCAGGGCCAGATAGCCAGGACGAGGCGGGCGGCTCGGCGCTGGGAGGCGAGACGTACTGGTGCTGGATGGGAGGCTCGTTGGGGTCGGACGGGTAGGAAACGGGGATCACGTCCCAGTGTGACCGGAAGTGCTCGCCCAGCACGGAGTTGTAGGGCTTGCACACCTTTCCCTTCTGTACTGGAGCTCAGTATGTAATGCGGCATGCTGACCTGACTGGAACGTACGATGTACTTGAGGTCCTTTGAGAAGGTGAATCGAAGTACGGCCAGCATACGCTCGAAGGGATCGTCGGAATCATTGATACTGCCCGCCAGGCGTCCATCAGCCCGAAGTACGCTCAACCTAAGTACAGAGCTACACTCACGCAGCGAAGAGGTCCGGTCTGTCCAAGTAGTGCCAGTACTCCAGGTTCGGGATGGGCTCCAGCAGCGATGCGGGGAGAGAAAGGCGCCTAGTGCATAACGACGTCAGAGTCGGTCAGACACAGCAACACACACAAGGAGGCATCCAGACGCGTACATCGCAGCGATGTCTTTGACCCCGAGGCACTTCTTGACGAGCTGAACGATCATCTTGAGCTTGCCGCTCTCGCCGGCGTCGCTGGCGTCGGGCACCGATATGGCCTGTCCGGCGTCCTCGTCGACGGGCGTGCCAACGTCGTTCTTGTCCGTGCTTGCCATCGCGAGAGAGTGAAAGAAAGACAAGAGTGGTGGCGAGACCAGTGAAACAAGTCAGGAAGAAGAAGGGGGATGGAGAGAGCGAAAGGGAAAGAACGTGCGCATGCGCCAGGACACCGCTGAGTCCGCTAAATGGGAGTAGCATGGGCGCCTGATTGCGGCGCCGCATCTCATTGCGCGCAGCCGTTCCCCGCCCTCGCACCGCTTCTCATACAGTACTGTACTTAGTCCCAGGTAGCACGGCATGGCTCTGCTCCCCCGCTTCTCGCACTCCCACTTTGCATGTCGTCCAGGCGGTGCATCAAAGGCTTGGCAGAACGACAAAAAGTGGTTCGATCCGGGCTCGAACCGGAGACCTCCTGTGTACACACTGTGAGACAGACGTGATAACCAACTACACCATCGAACCATTAACTTCACTTTCACATGAACATAATTGTGGCGGCGTCTTTTCTAGCTGCGTCGTCATGACATGGTTTCCTGAAGTGGACGAACAACTTCGACAGAGACCACATATACCTTACCTTCGTTCTGTCCGCTATAGCGCGAGGAACCACTCTGTAAGTATTGCAACGACGCCTGACAGTCACTGATCTGATGATGATTTTGGCAGACTATGTACCCCGCGTAGCACTGTGTGGTGACGCCATACATCCACTCAAGATGGGTATAAACATCGCGTCCGTAGCCATTGAATCACCTCTAGACTATGGTGGCTCAATAATATTGCATAGCATGGTTTGCGATTTCTTTCATCCCGGTGTGGGCGGTGTCGAGAACCACATCTACATGCTAAGCGCGAACCTCATTCGCAGCGGACATAAGGTATTGTTCCAGTCCATATCACTACACGCTTTCGACTCTCATACGTTCACAGGTCATCGCTATCACGCACAGTCATCCGCCAGACCGTGTGGGCGTGCGATGGCTCTTACCTTCCCTGAAGGTATATTACATCCCCTTTCCGACCATAGCCTCTTCGGCGACTTTGCCCAATTACTTCACTTTCCTGCCGTATCTCCGGACCATAGTTTTGAGAGAAGACATTCAACTTATACACGGGCACGCCAGTCTATCGTCCTTAGCTCATGAAGGGATCCTGCATGCGCACCTTATGGGAGTGCGCACAGTGTTTACCGACCATAGCTTGTTCGGGTTCGACGACGCGGCAAGCATCCTAACAAACAAACTGCTTGAAGCTGCTCTGCGCAATGTTGATGCAGCTATTTGCGTCTCCCATACAGGGTGCGGTGTCTGATTTGCTCAGATCGAATAGGCATTGACATAGACCCAGGCGGGAGAATACAGTGCTCAGGGCCAGGATACCCCCAGAGAGGGTGCATGTCATCCCCAATGCACTTGTCGCGGAACAATTCAGACCATCGCCTGTTCCCCCGGGTGGTGATACTAGTAAGTCATTACATTTACGCTCAGGGTTCCATCGAGGCTTCAATGGGATCCAGTCACTGTAATTGTGCTGTCGAGGCTAGCATATCGGAAAGGCATCGACCTCCTAGTTGCAACTGCGCCACGAATATGTGCTCGCTTTCCCAACGTTCGTTTTGTTATCGGTATGTCATTAATTTGACAAGCCGATGCTTGCTTTCTGTGCTCATTTCAACGTAACAGGCGGAGATGGCCCTAAGATGATAGACCTACTTCAAATGCGGGAGAAATACCTTCTTCAGGACCGCATAGCAATCCTCGGCCCCGTTCGTCATAGTGACGTTCGCAATGTAGGTTTCTTATACCATCGAGGACGTATAGTCGTTCCATGGCTGACACGCAAGCGATGCAGGTACTCGTCCAGGGCTCCATATACATGAACACATCTCTCACGGAATCGTTTGGGATCGCCATCCTGGAAGCCGCATGCGCGGGACTCTATGTGGTGTCGACTCGGGTCGGCGGCGTACCCGAGATCCTTCCTGAGGACACGATCTCTTTTGCAAATCCAGACGAGGATGGTATATCAAGTCACACGTTTACCTCACTTATCATAGTCTCATGATAGCGACTCACCCCAGATGTCGTGCGTGCCATGTCGGAGGCGATCGAGTTAGTATCGGCGGGGAAGCATGACCCATTACGTGCCCATGAACGGATCAAAGACTTCTACGACTGGAAGGAGGTCACCAAGCGGACAGAAGCTGTCTACGAGTCGGTCCTCGAATCCGAGCCCTGTGATTTCTGGACGAGACTGCAGCGGTATGTCTATCGCGGTGACTGTGAGTATGCTTCTGACACCTATCACAGGACCCTGGATCTGGGGCGCTTTGCGGGGATAATCTTCGCCATCATACTCCTCGTCGACTGTCTCTTCTACATGTTCTTGGACTGGTACCTCCCTGAGGATGAACTGGACATGGTCGAGATGCATTGGGAGCCAGAGCACTTCCAAGAGGTACGCAGTCAGATGATTGTCTGTCACATTTTTCTGAGCTTCTTGTTCCCTTCAGGCGGTGGATGAGTACGAGCATAGCAAGAAGAGCGAGACGGCATGACGGGCCCGGAGCCCATGGTCTAGTCGGGCGCTTACGCCACGAGATGGCGAATCTCGTGGCGTACTGACCGTCGACATCCACTCAAATTCGATTCGCTCTGCGCCCATAGTGCATACATGGGCTTTTTGCTATCTCATGCTCTTCGTCCCCATGTTGTACACCCCTCGGTCCTCGCTCTGCATCTGCAACCCATTCCCTTGGCCTGCTAACCATAGCTCGGCGCTTTAGTTGCCTCACGTGGACAGAGTAAAATGCGATTAGCAATGCGCCATCAACTTCTCGACGGAGCTTCCTTCCTCGATCTGCAACCACCATGGGCACGCTGGACGACGAGAAGACAAGCAGCGTATCGGACGATCGCGTTTCTAACACACGGATACAAGGCTGGCTTGCGTCAACCACCCAATTTCTCGCCCGCTGGGGCGTAGAGACGAATGGGTTTGTTGTTTGATCACTCGCAATTGCTATCCTATCTGAACTCCGGCCTAGGATCGATCCAATCCTACCGGAGGACAGAACAGATACCCGACTATACCAGATGTTCTTCGTGTGGTTCTCTTCAAATATAAACATATTGACGTGCGTGAAGAGAGCTGTATCGTATAGAAACGCTAGACAGACCCGTCGTATGCTTTGGATAGTTTCGGTACGGGTTCCGCAGGACCCGCGTTCTTCGGCCTCAGCCTGCGCGACTCCTTCATCATTCTCCTCATAGTGGATATCATGTATGTCTTGCTTTCTCACAACCGCGCTTCATAGACTCTGACGGAATGTCTAGATCATGCGCCATCCCTGCCTACTTGTGAGATTGCTAAGACCCGGCATGTCGTGCAGAGATGACATATGCCTTTTTCTTCCAGCGCCGTGTTCGGACCCAAGCTTGGCATGCGGTCGATGGTACTAGCTCGCTACTCGTGGGGGTGGGTCAAAAGCCTCATTTTCCTCCACCGCGACTCACTATTCAGCAGGTACTATGGTTCTATCCTTCCTAGCGCATTCACCGTCTTCTCGATGCAAGGGTTTTTGATATTGAATTGCATCATCGGTGGTCAGACTCTTGCGAGCATATCCTCTCATCTGGACGATACTCTCGGAATTGTCATCATCGGCGTACTATCGCTCCTCGTACGTCGATGATCTTGCTATTTTTTGACGTCAAGGTCATTGAGCCGTCTGACAGGTAACATTCTGCGGATACCGTGTAATCCATTGGTGCGTGAAGAGCGCGCATTGCATTGCAGTATTTGCTGGTCTCAACCACGTTGTATTTGCAGGTACGAGATGATCGCCTGGGTTCCCAGCGCCATCGCTTTCATTGTGATGCTCGGCGTCGGGAGCAAACAGCTCACAGAGGCTCCCGTTCCTCCTCCACCAACTACATCAGCAATACTTTCTTTTGCCACCACGACGGCCTCGAGTGTCATCAGCTGGTGCATGATGTCGCCAGACTATGGTGTCTACCACACACACAAGGCATCCAGGTAGGCTTCACTCTTTGAGTTGTCTCACAGCTTGATATATCATCCGATCAGCACGAGAGTGTTCCTGTACAGCTATGCAGGGTTCTTCATCGCAAGTGTGAGCAAACTATTTGCTTGGTACACCCTTCCATATTCATGAGGGTGAAACAGCTCGCTGCCCATATGCTTGGTGCAGCGTTCGCTGCGGCGGCTCCCGGAGTGCCGTCATGGAACGCAGGCTTTGATGAGGGCAACAGCGTCGGCGGCCTTGTCGAGGCCGTTCTCTCTGCATCTGGTGGCTTTGGCAAGTTCCTGACTGTGCTCGTGGCTCTGTCGATACCCAGCGCCTGCGCCCCAGCGATGTACACCTTCGCGTCCAGCTTGATGACGATTCATGCGTGGTTCGCTAGGGTACCACGCTACGTATATGCTGTGATCTCCGAGGCCATGTGAGTGATCGTTCCCGTCATTAGGGGACGTTGTATTCACACGATCACCGTTAAGCTTGATACCAGTCGCGATTGTGGGCGCAACACACTTCTACACCACTTTCGTCGATGTCTTGAGTCAGTGGCATTGCTCGATGTAGTCTTCCCCATCGCTGACCTCTGGCAACCTGCAGGTGTCATCGGCTACTGGAGCACCATCTTCGCAGCAATTGTTCTCGTCGAGCACTTCGTCTTCCGCAAGAACGACTGGACGCGCTATGATCTCTCGCAGTGGTGCAAACCTCGTCAGCTACCTCCCGGCGTCGCGGCAACGATTGCATTCCTGTGTGCTTGCGGCATCATCGTTCCATGTATGTCACAGGCGTGGTACGTTGGGCCAATCGCCAAGTCAGGGACCGGCGACATTGGTGTCTTGGTGGGCTTCGCGCTTCCGGCGGTATTATTCCCTGCTCTCCGAGCCGGTGAGCTTGCGATATTTGGAAGGTGAATGTATTATGTCGCTGGGATCACAATTTGTACTTCCTAGGTACAAGACTGCTGGAGGCTTGTCTGGCGGCCAACCTCTGCGGCAACAGCTGGCTATATGCATGGGAGACCCACTGTCCGGCGGGTTCGTTGTGAATATGACAACACGTCATATGGTGAACTGGATACTCACCTCGCAAGCCATAGGCCTTGTGTCCCGAGGATCGATGATCTCCTCGATACCGAACACATGTGCCGTGCGCACCGGATCGCGTACGTCCTCGAACTTCTCCAAAAGCTCCTTCAGCATCTTCTCTCTCGCCACCGGGGTCGGTGCGCTTTCGAGCTGTCGCTTGTATGCGGCTTCAATACCGCCCTCCAGAGGCAAGCTCCCCCAATCGGCCGATGGCCTGGAACAACGGCCATCGTCAGCTTCAGTCACGACGCACTAGCCTGGAGGAAAATGTCACCATGCTACCCGCGTATTGAGCCCGTCACCGGGATCTGATAGTGCGCCTCCGGCAACACCGA